ATGCCGTATTTAACTATTTTAGTCGACTAAAATAGGAATTAAATTCGGCACATGTGAAATTCGACGTTTGAACTGGGCCTTATAGTTAATGACAATTTAAGCTTACCTTGGTTATTAAGCCTTTTCCTTGAAATTTATTGCTAGTGAACAAAGAGGCGTTACAGACGACCTAAAAAAACCCTAGCAAAATAAATTAAAATAGCATAAACTGAATTGGTAATTAATAAACGATGGGAACCATGTTAAAGTAACGTAGAAGTTAAACCATAGAGAGAAACATCTTACCATATGTAATATGCCTGATTACATACACATCCGAAAGGCGGAAGTGCGAGCGGAAACGAAAGCAAGTCCAGCCTCGTACCCAGGCCAGGTCGCGCTATCCAAGAGGAGACTTGGAACCGAGTGCGATAGCGTGAATTTTTCCCGACAAGCTTGACAGGTGACGTCACATCCGAAATCGCCGAGGACGACTGGGAACGAGGCTGTTGGGCCCCCAGACTCCTCTTCTTGCGTGCGCAGGGGGAGGGGCCAGCTTTTGTACAAAAAATAGAACAATTGAAAAAAAAAAAAAAAAGAAAGAAAAACAGAAAGAAACGCATGAGAAAACAGAAACAGGAAAAGAAAAAAAATTCCTAATTTTGTTTTTACTACAGTTTTCTGCTACCAACCAAAGAGAAGAGCAATAAAGAACGAGGAACTTATTCTTATCTGTCCCTGTGAACTCCAAACGGCTCCTACATATCCATGGATATAGTCAAGCGCCATAATGCGACCATTATGGTTCTTGATATAATTATTGAAATGCATGCACCGCTTTCTTCGCTGTGCGTTGCTTGCAACTGATTAAAAAAAGGGAATTGCTGGGCTAAATAGTAAAATTTACATTCCTTGAATCGCTAACGACTGATAACTTTGCTTTCATATGTGGCGTTTAATCGATTAAATACGGTATTCAGCCATTAAATTAAACCAGCTGAGAAATTATTCCAAGATAAAATAACGATAGTTGTCGATAAACTCATACCCCTCACTGAATTTAAAATGTGATTTTGCTAGTGGGAAAAAAGAATCAATGCTGCACTGTACTTTCAGTGCGTTTACTTCGATTTGAATATTGCACTCAGAGTGACAAAAAAAAAACATTCAAGGACTTTCCTCTGTGATAGTTCCCGGACAAATAAGACAAAATTGCCCGGAGGACTCCTCCCATATGAAAAAGACGATGATGTTTGTCCGAAAATTAAAATCAATTTTGAATTCTCCTTAGCCTGCGGAAAAGACGCCATTTTTAGGCGTTTTTCGGGCTACCGAAGCGCGAAGCAGACGTGGGAGCGCGGACACGCGCGACGGGGGAAGAGTCCTCGCTAGATTCGCTCGCCTGAAAAAAAGCGAAAAAAAAAAAAACTTTTCTGCGGGGTTGAAGACCAACCTCGATATGGGAGGGGAAAGAAGAGGAACAGGAGATCGTGGGAATAACTTTCAATTCGCGCTTTTCTACCTCTCGTTTTCCATTGTTTGCCCCTTCCATGCAGACTAAAAAACACAGAATAATGATTGAAATTTAAATTGTCTAGTTACATGGCCATTTTACGCACAACTCTTAAGTGATATACGTATGGGGGAATAACTCAGTGATTTTCCGGCCAGGACACCATCGATAAGATCACAATCTGCAGTTTCAATCCCTAATAGGAGTAATATGGATTATGCGTCTGCTCCGAGACGAGACGACAAACATTCCCGTCACTTTTATAAGAATATCGAAGCTGAAATTTGCAAAACTTTTAGAATAATTTAAGAATAACCCCGAGGCTGATTAACATGTTTTCAAATTCTTCCTTTTTCTAATGGCAAAATAGCCAACAAAGCGAAAAAACCTAAACTAACTATAGTTGATACCCAAATACATTCTAAAACGGAAATGTCATAAGTATAATGTAAGAATAATGCAAGAATATTTTCAGCCTAAGATCGGCAGAAAAATAAGAAAATTCAGCCTGGACCGGAGTAACGGAGTTCCCTCCGTTAAAAAGGCCGCTACACCGGAGGGGATATGAAACAATCGGTAGACTGCGAGTATAGTCTCTTAATTTTCTTTCGAATTACAGTCTTGAATCACAGTAGACCGAGAGTATACGCGTGAGGGGAGATCCAGCGAGGCAAGGAGGGACGTGGGCGGAAGAATGAGCGAAGGTACTGCAAGGATGGTAACATAATAAATCTTGAAAATCCTTAAAAAGGAGGGTTCGTCGAAAAAAGCGAGGAAAAAAGGAAAAAGGCGAAAAGAGCGTCGCAATATTATGGACCGGCAAACAATTTAAAATTGACCCTTCATCGTCACATATGGAAATTTCGATAATACGAAAAAGCAAGAGCTAGGCCGTAAACCGTTTATAAGCTTCCTTGAAGACCTCTATTTCCATTGGGAACTGGAGTGCAGTCTGTTCGTCACGCGGTACGAAAGTTTGAGCCACAGTGAAAATTGGACTCCTTTGGGACTGAGATGTTTTTTTTTTTTTTTGCGGGGGGGGGGGGAAGGGTGAGGGACTGAGATGTTTGTTGACATACTGACAAGCAGCCGACCAATCGGGAATCTCCTTTTCACTGAAACGGTAATTCACAATACAGTAAGACCGCCGCGGTCGTCCTTGTTCCTCCGCCCCGATCTCTCCTCCTTTTTTCCATTAATTTGCATAATTTTACTTTCTCGCTCGCCGCGCGTGGCTCTGAGGAAACAAGGACGACCGCACGCGGTCTAAACAATAGGCGGCATTTTGTGACGCATGTGACTTAGTGTTGCGGAACCATCGTCGATTAAGCTTGTTTTATTTTGGTGATTGCACTACTGTCCGTATTAAACGCGCATAGAATAGAAACGAATGGTGATCGAGAAAAGTGTTATCTCTCATGACAGGATTTGCGAATCCAAGAGCTTATGTAAGTGATTAAACGTACTTCAGATACAAAAATGTTTTGTTATCACCTCCTGTTGTTCATACCCAACGATGCTGGAAGTTCGTCAAGGATTAAGTTGTTAATTAAATGAAGCGCAGTGATTTGGGAACTTACAGGATAAGCTGCTATGAAATTCACATTAGGCAATCTATTCTTAGAAGGTTACGATCATAGGAGGAGACGATGACATCACGCGCCGGTAATGACTATTTAAAAGTGATCGACGGTTAACTATGGTTCTTTTTATTACTGTGGGTGTATGCTCACTCTTATACTTACACTTTTTTTCAATAAAAATGTGATATCAGTATATTACTTTGTCATCCTGCTTGTGGTTTCATCATTTTGATTTATTACATTATCTCCCCTCGGCATGAAGTCGTATACAAAATCGCTTGTAGCCAGACGTTAAAAACTAGACGAAACTGATCAGTCCCAATCAGTGCTAAGTATTATCAAAAAGTTGTTAAAAAAAGTATACCATCTATCACTAGTTATCTCATGTTTTTTGTTTTGTTTTGTTTGTAATTTAAATGCTTCTTTTTTTGTTTTTCGAAATAAAGAGAAAAAAAGCTCTGTTTTATTAAAATGTTCCTTTTTGTTTGGGTACCCTTCATGGCAACCGTGACGTCACCTGATGTCACATTGACATAATCACAGGAAAAAGCGGGAAATGCACGGTTTCTAAAAAATTTACACCCTAACATAAACCACTCCATCCTCCATTATTGTCATAGATGCTGTTGTGTTAGTACACTGCAAGTTGAAAAAGCCAATTTTCCAATTGGAATTTTGTCAATAAATTTTACGTAAGGTTAATACAAAGTATCGCTGCCTTTGTCTTGGCCTGCGCAGCAGGCGTTTCAGCTTGTTTTCATAGCAAAGGAAGACCGAGGAACGGGATTTTCGGTTTTGGCCGCGCGAGAAATGAGACGAGAGCCAAAAAATCAAAGAGGGCTTACTAGCGCCATTTTTCGCGCTGTCTTTGACTCTCGCTCCTCGTTCTTTGCTCCTAAACTGCACGGAAACGCTTGCTACGTAGGTTACCTGTATCTTTTCTTAACAGGTCTTCATCTTCCATCACGAAATTGTCAGTACATGATGGTTGTGTTTGTTCACTTTGAAAATGAATCCATGTGTTACCTTTGTGAAATCTACTGAAGCCACGATCTCTCAAGGCCCCATCCACACGTATCCGCTTTTGTTTGAAAACGGAGATTTTTTTCCTCCGGTTTGGCCTACCGTCCACACGTTTCCGGTGAAAACCGAAAACACATCTTTTCAAAAACATTTAAAAAACCCTCCAGAGTGCAGTGAAGGTTTCTGACAATGCTTGCTTCTAGTTAGGGTGTGGACGGACGAAAACGGAGGTTTTCGAATACGATGATATCATACATCATTTACTACTAGTATAACGCATGCTCTGTGAGGGATGTTATCGTATTCCCATTGTTTAGCGTTTTCGTATGGACGGGCGAAAAGGATTCGATTACGTTACGAGTGGACGCCTGTTTTTTTGAAAACGGAGGGAAAAAATCTACGTTTTAACAAATATCTGGATACGTATGGACGGGGCCTAAGATAGACCTTGAACAATCTCCTGGAATGTTTTTTTCAGCGAAGTCCTAGGAGAATGTAATATTCAGTTGGCAGGCTTATGTGGTAAAGTTGAATTCTCAGAACCATTCCATTTCCACGCTGTCGAAAGAATCTTCCACAACGAGTGCCCTTGTCTACCAATCAAGTATTTCGTCTTCGGGCACCAAACGTTTAATCTCAGCTTCATCTGGACATTCCAGTTTGTCAAGAATACCCCTGATTTCCGCGACAGTGGGGGATGTGGATCCGCGATGACGATCCAAAGATGACTTCACAAGTTGAGCGATATCACTTGGTAAAACGGAAGGGTCAGCAAAACGCGATGCAAGGCGCTCCAAGGCATCAGATACGTATCTGACCATGGCGCTCGGGGTGGCGCCTGCTGAAGTAGCGGAGGAGAAAGTTCTGTTTAAGGAATCCAATAGTTCTTGAAGCCTTATACATGCTTTGCGATCCTTTTCAATTGCCACCTGCACCTCTGAGAGCCTAAATTTTTTCTGTTCCTCAGTGCCACGATACGACGCTATCAGAGCGCCAATTCCGGCCCCTGCAGCAGGTAACATTAAACTGGCCCCAAATGTAAAGGGTGCGGCAATAGCCGCGCCCACAGCAGCCGCGCCCACAGAAGTCACGACCACAGCAGCCGAGCCCACAGCTCCGCCCACAGCAGCCCCGATCACAGTCTCGGTCGTGATGCTACGTTTTGCGAGCTCAAGCTTTCTTTCCAAATGTTTTAATTCTTCTTTAGTATGTCTTCTAACCTGTATCCAGTGGAGAAAAGCCTCACGTAACTCTTTGCGAGGTCAAAGAAAGGAAAAGTAAATACGTAAATTTAGCGAGTAAACTTGCAGTCATTCGTATGGAGGGAATCAAAATGATCGGCAAAAGTGTTTATGAAAGATGATTTGATTCGTGACAACCCTTTAAAAAGTCAATCCTTTTCCCAGAAATAAGTTTTGTACCTTCAGAAACAGTACAAACCCACAAGTAAGACTGACTACTTGGTTTTTACGAACTTGTTACGCTAAATTCAAATGAATATATGGTCGTCGCAGTGGTAATTTAAACAATTGCAAATTTACCAGAAAAAAAAAATTCGGGACTTCAAATCGATTTGAACCCATGTCCTCTGCGTTAATAGGGCTGCAGTGCTTCAATTGCAATTTCCACCCCCCCCACAGCCTTCTTGTTGAAGGCGGCCCTGAGCCAGGTTGTTGTTGTTGGTTCGCCACGTAGCACCTAGAATCTAATGACAACTGGGTCCAGAGACAACTTCATTTCTAGGAATTTTCCTCAACTTAGTCTAAATCGCTGGAGGTGATCTATGATGATTTTTTCAAACCTACCGTCAATGATTAAACGCTGTCGACAAGCCCTGTATTCCTCTTCCTCGATATTCGACGTAAGCTTAAATGAAGAAAGACCAAACAATTTCAGGATGTCTTTTGTCACAAGGTAAGACTGGGCTACTTTATTTAGATTGCCTGTCCTGTAGTCGTCCCAAAGATCATCAAGAATCTTCACTGTTCTACACTCCAACTTGAGTATCAAGCTTCCAGTCTTGACATCAACAACAAGTACTTTGCGAACCTTTTCCATGTATGTAAGGAAACTATCAAACTCGTCCGGGTTTGACGGACGAACTTTCTTTAAATATCTATCTGCAATACGATTGAGAACCTCTTGAGTCAAACTTGACGAAGCTGCGTGTGGTCCTTGGGCCATACCATCAAATCGGAGATCAAGATTACCTTCCAATAAAAGAAATAATTTTAGAATTTACAAGGATAAAATAAAAAATAAAATGAAAAATAGGTAAAATAAATAAAGAAAATAAAAACAACAAAAGGTAACAATTTTCCTGTTATGTTTTTCCCTTTTTGGTCACTTTGTTAAAGTACGTTTCTTCAACCGCAAAACTTAAACAAATATAAACACGGAGAATATTTTGAAAACGGAACATTTCGAAACCGCTGACGTCACTATTATCTTCTATGATTTCTGTGGCAGCGTTACACTTTCCAATTTCGTCGGGATTAGTGTGGACAGAAAAATGTTTATACGTTTTGGCCAAAACCGGTGAAAAAAAAAGATGCGTTCTCAAATTTACCCGGAGGAGTGTGGCGGAAAACATGCGACACGATACAGCTATGGGCTCTCCAGTTTCTGTTGTTGTAGTAAAAATTGTCATGCAAAACAGCGAGGAACAAGCCCTAGCTACCTACACGCGAACTATACCTCTTTGTTTACGTTACGTTGACGACATATTCACCGCCGTACACATAGACGGAATCGACGATTTTCACGAACACCTTAACAGACAGAACGTGGACGCCGAAGATGTGTCGGCCTTCGGCCAACACCGAAAATTCCCGCCGCGCGCAAGAAAAACCTCTGGTACCCAGGGTAACCAATTCAAGGAGATCGAAGAAAATGGTAAGATACCTTTTCTAGACCGCTTGGTCACTCGCGACAACAACAAACTACAAACGACTATTTACAGAAAAACGACACATACCGACCGATTACTAGACCAGTCTTCGTACAACCCGACCTCTCACAAGGCTACTACTATCCGGACTCTGAGGAGACGAGCGCAACTAGTTTGCGACTCACCTGACAGCCTACAAGACGTGATTGATTATCTTAACAACGTTTTTAGTAAGACCAATTACAACACGGAGACTTTGTTAGACGCAACACTCACAGTAACACTGATTTCAACACTCAGACCAGCTCTGGCTATACCGACTATACCGTACATCAGAGGCACCTCTGAAACTATTGCACGTATATTACAACCTTACAATATACGTGTTGCACACAAACCGGTGATCACTTTACGACGACTGCTTACTAATGTCAAAGACAAAGACAAACCGGAGGACAGAGAGGGAGCAGTATACAAGATCAAATGCTGCGACTGCCAGGCTTCTTACATTGGTGAAACCGGCAGAAACTTAAGCACGCGACTGACCGAACACAAACGAGCGACGAGGAATGGTGACGTCAACAATGACATTGCTGAGCACCATTTACAGATGAAACAACATAGGCACGTTAAACGTGCATGAGCTATTTTGAATGCTTCAGTGTAACCTTACCAAGAGTGATGAATCTACCTTTTTCGTCCTAAATGTAGACTGGGTTTTTGTGCGAAATTGGGTATTGCCATACATAAATGAAAACGCGAAACGCTCAGCTGGGTCGGTTCTCATGCTATATATTCACTTTCCTCTGTCTTTCCCTATTACATTTGGTGCAAGTTAAACAAATTGTTAAAGTAAAATATATATCTACTCACCAAACGTTGATTAGAAGGAAAACTCTAAGGTTTCCTCCGAGATTCTTAAGCCAAAATGTGACTCATCGAATCCGAGTAGTTACGAAATACCAGGATTTTTATCATTGTGGTATATGGTTGCATCATCACAATTCACGAGGTTTTCACGTGCGATTCTACTCAGTGAAACAGTGTTTAACTCCGACAACTTATTTCTTCATGTTTTAAAAGCTATTGCTTCTTAAAAGACAAAAGCCTTTTCTAAAGCATTGGTTGCAAAACCAAACAGGTCTTCGGACGTTCAAGGTACTATTATTATTGTGAAAAGCCAATCTGTATGAGATATACAGTCACACAACTGGCACGTGAAAGTGTTGGACTTTGCCCCCTTTCGTGGTTTGTACGTCAGGGAATTCGAGTTATCACACAGTAATCGAGTAAACAGAATTATAAACACAACTCCGACATGCACGTGAAGATGTGAAGATGTTGGTCTTGGCCCTTTTACAATTCGTACTTTAAAAAAACGCAAATTGTTTACTACAAAATTTTCTCAAACGATTTTAAGAAATCACCTCGGCTTCATTACAACAGCTGCAATTAAATTATGTTTCACGCAACGTCAAGGTTGATAGCCTAACATTTATTAACTTCCAAGAAAATTATCAAACTGCCGAAATATATTTTTGCTCTTATCATGTTACTCCACTCAATAAAGCAGTATCTAATTATTGTGTCAACTAGCTTCTTCCAATTATATTCCCTAACGCTACTGTTTCTACTTAAGTTACGCATCTTTACTAAAACATAGGCACGTTAAACGTGCATGAGCTATTTTGAATGCTTCAGTGTAACTATAATACTTCGGTGTAACCTTACCAAGAGTGATGAATCTACCTTTTTCATCCTAAATGTAGATTTGGTTGTTGTGCGAAATTGGGTTTTGCGCTACATAAATGAAAACGCGAAACGCTCAGCTGAGTCGATCCTCAACCTATATATTCACTTTCCTCTGTCTTTCCCTGTTACATCTGGTGCAAGTTAAACAAATTGTTGAAGTAAAATAAATTTCTTCTCACCAAACGTTGATTTAAGGTTTCCGCGGAGTTTCTTAAGCCAAAATGTGACTCATCGAATACTGAATAGTTACGAAATACCAGGATTTTTATCATTGTGGTAGATGGTTTCATCATCATAATTCACGAGGTTTTCACGTGCGATTCTACTCAGTGAAACAGTCTTTAACTCCGAAGACTTATTTCTTCATGTTTTAAAAGCTATTGCTTCTTAAAAGACAAGAGCCTCTTTTAAGGCATTGGTTACAAAACGAAACAGGTCTTCATACGTTCAAGTTACTATTTATCATTGTGAAAAGCCAATCTGCATGAGATGTACAGTCACACAGCTGGCACGTGAAAGTGTTGGACTTTGCCCCCTTTCGTGGTTCGTACGTGAGGGAATTCGAGTTATCACACAGTAATCTAGTAAACAGAATTATAAAAATAACTCATGCACACAATTTGCATGTGAAGATGTTGGTCTTTGGCCCTTTTACAATTCGTACGTAAAAAAAAAGGCAAATTGTTTCACTACAAAATTTTCTCAAGCGATTTTAAGGTGACTCGACCCAGTTTTTTTTTTTTTTTTTTTTTTTTGGTACCATCCTACTTTGAAGCTCTCTGGTATCCCCACCTTTACGTTTATCGTAAGTCTAACACATAGAATAGATAAGATATAGATCAATCTACAATATAACATAAAATTTTTGGCGATCGGAGTAAATGTCACGTGGTTATAATGCCACGCCCCTTTGAGGTCTGAGTCGAAAATCTGCTGTTGACGGCATTTTTTCGTGAAAATCTCCCGGCTACACATAGTGCGCATTAGTGCCTTGCGCTAAACAGAGTTTCACCAAAATCGCAAAGACGCAATTCGAGAAATTCAGCGGTTTCCAAATTTAGGTCATAATTTATGCGAAAATGATAAGCAAACTTTACACGGATTATATCTAATAAACTATGAGATTCGTCTCTTTATTTTGGGCATCGTAATAACGGATGGGTCCTTGCAAGTCAGCAAAACGCTTTAGGGCCTTGTAAATGCGCGCGATTTCGAGCAAAGCAAACATATAGAAATTACAGTTTTCGCTATTTGTTGACGTTTGTCAGCGTTTAAGAGTCTTTCTCACGAAAAAAGCATTTTCTTAAAAAATCGTAGTTTTTTTTCCTTCAAATTTTTTCAGGGCCACAATTGATTAACTAACTACCCGGACTCTGAATTTCATGGTCATTGGAAAACTGTGACATTATCTTCTATAAGCCCAAACTTCAGTAAACATTGAAGATTTTTAGCGTTTTGGCTGAGTTTGTGCTTTGGGAGTTGTCTATTGTTTCTAGCCTGTCATTATACAGCATTCTTGTTCAGCACGCGTGCAATGACCACGCTTGGCTGACTTCCGAATGCTCACCGAGATATTCCCGTCACGAGTTGGTTTAATTATTGGCTTGCATTAAACCT